TCAGACAGAGCCACTGTCTTCACCAAACCTGTAGAAATGTGTGCTCTGGGCCAGGCATTGCACTTGACCCTGGAACCTAGGGAATAAGACAGGGTTCCTGAAGGTGGCTTTCTAAAGCCTCTCAGTACATCTGGCAGTACTCGTGCCTCAGTTCTGAGTCAGTTCCCACTGAATTCCACTGGGTCCTCACATGCTGGGGAGCTGCTGCCCGTCTCTTCCTCAGATGGTCCCTGCTCTGCTGCCTCTGGTACCAGCTGGGGTACACCACAGAAGCATGAGCTCCCCCACCCACAACCACGTAATTCCTGGTATTCTGTGTTCCTTTCTGGCCCAGGCACGGGTCACCTCTGAGGAGACCTTTGGACTCTCAGGGTGGTTATATGTCTGCCCCACTGAGGGGAGTCTAAGGAAGTTTTAAGTCCCAGCCAGAATTTGCAGGATGAAGGAGCTACCTCTCCGAGGCCTGCCTTTCCTGCCAGCTCCCAAAGTGCTGCTGGGTCTTTGGATGGCAGCCTGTGTCTTGGAGGCTATTAATTGAAATCCCAGACAAAATATCCAAATTGTGGTACAGCATGTGGGTTACAGGAGGATGTGGGGCTTTGTCCATCAGGCACAGGCCTTATTAATGCTCTACTCAGGCTCCGAGTCAGGTCTGCCTGTCCATCAGAATTCCTGCTCTTAGAAAAGTGCCACTGGATTCCTCCCTAACAAGGATCCCAGCTGACAGCCAACTGGCAAGAGTGCAGCCAATTCTCTTCCTCAAGTAATGATTCGACAGTCTAATCCTGGCTCCTCTCTGGATGGCTGCTGGACTTTCCTGGAGGACAGGTTACTTTCAAGTTTGACTTTCAATTAAGGAAATGGAGCTGAAAGCTCTTTTTCATATCATCATCATCATCATCACCACCACCACCACCACCATCACCACCATCTGTGTGGCAGGTACTAGGTGGAGACTTTATGTGCTTTTCCTCCCATTTAACTCTCACAGCAACCTGATGACAAAGCCCTTATTATGCCAGTCTTTGAGATGAGATGGAGCTCTGATGGGTTAAGGAACTTTCCCACTTTCACACAGCCACAAAGCGGATGCAGTAGCCTTTGGACGCAGGTCTGTCTGAACTATCGTCTTGAACTATTGTCACCACGACATGCTGCCAGTACAAAATCCCCATTTACTAATCACTTCCTATGTATCAAGCCCTGGCTTAGGTACTTTATTTTAGTTAACCCTTCCTATGGCTCTTACGAAATGGTACTATTGCCAACTCATACCTGAAGGCACAAAGGTTAAATCATTTCCCCAAGATTACACTCAGCTAGTGGGAAGCAAGGTCAGGACTGAAATTCCAAGCCCTCATTAGACCACACTTCCCTATGTGAGAGAAAAGAAGCAATGACTCAAACGTGACAGCTGACTTCACTTCATCTCAACTGAGAGCATTGCCTGCTGGCCCAGCTCAGGACCACCGAGCTGGCAGTCTAACGGAAAGGGCACCCCAGGTCTCAAGTATCTGTGACTAGTCACCTAGGTGTACTTCACCTGGGGCTCTGTTTGTGGATCCTCAGTGACGGATGGCTGTTTCTTTAGAATCTAGATCAGCAAGAAGCAGGGGTGCAATGGTTCAGGCAAATGTTGGGTAAACGCAATTTTTATAGTACCATTTTGGAAGCTTCCATTATCTATTCATTTGTAGAGCAAGTACTATGTTCCGGGCCCTGCCTGAAGTATTATAGGTTTGGAGAGATGAATGGTCCCTGCTTTCAAACTGTATGTAATTTAACTGAAGGTGACAGATGTATAAAAAACGATCTGCGGCCTGACTTCTGCTTCTGCTACCCATCTGGAGTGTGGTTTTCAGCAGGTGATTTAAACTGTCTGGACTCTCAATCCTCAACATAAAATTAAATGAGATAGAAAATGTATCTATTCACCCTCCCTCCCTCATTTCTTCTCTGCTTCCATCCCTTCTTTCTTTTTGTCTTTACATCCTTCATTTCTTTATTCTCAAAGACAATTTATATGCATGTATGTCTTGAACAATTACTCAGGTAGGACAAAAAAAGTAAACTGCAGAGCCTCCCTGGAGGACTCAGTTGTAGAGGGGTCAGCAGACATTTCCAGGCCCAGAGCCACCTGCCCAGGGATGGCAGAGCCAGGATCTGAAGCCCATGGTGGCCTGACTCCTTGGTCTCTTCTTTCCCTCTTGCCCAGCCCATTTCCCCCAGCATGGGCTTCTCGGTTCACATGGACCTTCCTCGAGGCAAGTCCCACCTGCTGGAGCCCACCGCAGGTTCTTCAGTTACTTGTGGCACCCAAGCAGCAGGCTCAGTAAGAGGCCAGGAGGACACGCAGGGGATATGTCCCTGCTGGCATAGAGCAAGCTGGCACAGAAGGGCACCCCCTGCGCAGAACAGCCCCAGGCAGCCAACAAGCCGTCACCCCCATCAGTTGCCATATGGGCCCAGTAATGAAAGGCTGAGAAAGTAACATTTTCCTTGGTAGGAATATTATTTTTATGTCTAGTTGATTAAAAGAACTCACGCCAAGGGAAGGCCCACAAGCATACATACAAAATCACACAATTGAATAAAATAGCAGGAAGCTTCCTACCTAGGGACAGAAGCAGCGTTTCTGGCCAAGATAAATGAATAGGCTTTTCCTCACTCTTTCTGCTCCTGGCTCCACTGCTTGACTGGCCCTGTGAATGTGAAAAAGCCACTCTTCCTGCCAGGCTATCCATATTCTCAGGACAGGGTGAAGGCTGTGCACTCTAACGCACTTCATTTCTAACAAGGTGACTGTCTGAATGCTGCCACACACGTGTACTGTGCCTGCCCTGTGCTCCTTGCAAGGGCAGGCTGGGGTGGAGCATGTGGGCGCTGAGGGCCGACACTCCTGAGAGTCTACGCTCTGGCTCCACCACCTACAGCACAGAGACTCGCTTGTTGTCCCCACTTATTCCTGGATGGGAGCTGCCTCACAGAGGGCTCTCCTGGCTCCTTCAGTCTCTGACCTCCCCTTTCCAGTGAGCTCCCTGGAACAAGCCTCTGTGTACCCAAGGATTCAGCTTGTGAATGATGGTTTCCCACACCAAGACCTTTAGGCCTTAAGCTCTGTGTGAGCAAGCTCCACAATTTCTTAAAACTGCAGACACTTCCTCTTGGGTATCCTATTGTAAAATTCCCCTGCCTCGTCCTTCTGTTCAGGGTGGAAGTTATTACCTTGCTCCCACCCCTGCTCCTGCCCTCTGGTTCATCCTGCTTACAGGACTGCCATCTACCCAGGAAGCCAAGCAGGAGACCCCTCTCTCCACCCATTCAGTGCTCAAGCCCTGCTGAAGTTCCCTGTCTTACCCCTCATCACTTCCTTTTGGGCAGGGAACCTTTGGTACAAAATTCATTAATGTAGAAGGTACACAGTCTGTGCCTGCTGAGTTCACCATGTTGACTCTTAGTGAAAGCTCTGCATATAGGGAGTCACCACCATGTTGGAAGACACTCAAAAGAAATTATTATAAATCCCTCCTCTTTGATTTTTTTTCATTTTTTCCCCTTACCCCTGCCCTCCCTTCACCCCCTCCTCCCCTCCCCATCTACAACCACTTTATTTCCATCTTTTCATTATCTCACATTTTTTTCTTTTCCCTTATTACCCTTCACCTACCCATCCCACTTTCCCTACACCTTTAGCCCCTTTCTTCCCATTTCTAAATGTCAGTAATCTTATTAGGATCTTATGTATTATTGCAGATTATTCACACCAGAGAAACTATTCAGTATTTACATATGTGTGACTTATATTTATTTCACTTAGGAGTATATCTTCAATATGTATCCATTTTCCTATGAATGAATCTATTTTCTCGTTCTTTGTGGCTGAGTAATATTCCATTTTATAGAAAAACCACATCTTCTTTATCCAGTTTCCAATGGATGGGCAAATGGGCTGTTTTCAAGATTTAGCTATTACAAACTGTGCCGCTATAAACATGGGTGTGCATACTTCTCTGTGATATGATTCTTTTAGTTCTTTTGGAAAGATACCCAGCAGAGGGATGGCTGGGTCAAATGGAACCTCCAGTCCAAGCTCTTTGAGGTATCTCCATACTGATTTCCATAGTGGTTGCACCAGTCTGCACTCCCACCAACAATGGAGAAGGGTTCCTTTCTCCCCACAACCCCGCCAACACTTCCTCTTTGATATTTTATCCTGGTTCACTGTCCTGACATGGGGAACAGAGGACAGAAAGGCATTTTTTTTTTGCAAGCTTCTGTGCCCTATCTGGCCTCAGTGGTCTTTGCACCAGCTTTTCACTTTCCCTGAACAACCCCCAACATAGACTGCTATTTCTTATCCTTGTGAGTCAGTCCTTCAACCTTGTCTTGCCCCACCCAGAAGTACTTCCTCTGTGCCCTAGAGTCTCTGGGTGTGTGTTTTTGGCTAAGCACACTGTAAATTTCCCCCTGCTTCCCTTTAAGTCCCCTAGTGGACTGGGAGGGACCAAAAGGTAGAGATTGTGTCATTCTCATCACTGTGATCCTAGCAACGGACATGGCATAGAGTAGACCTCAGTAAGAAACTGTCCCACCAATGACACAACTGGAAAAAAAAGACTGTATGGGCATGTGGGCACAGAAGATACCCTGCCACCCCCAGCCAGCAAAGTCTTCTGAATGTCAGCTCTGAGGATGAACAGTGTCAGAACCCTTCAGGAAGTCAGGAGACCTCAGGATCAGGAAGAGTTGACTGTAAAGTAAATATTGATCCAAGATTCCCCTTGGACCTTTGCTTTTCACTGTCTCCATCTATCTCCTGGTGGGAACACCACAACTGTGCTCATAAAAGTTCTGAGTGCCCTGGACAGCAGTTTTATAAAGTGGGTACTTGAGGCAGCTGCTCTGCTTCTCTCAACATTCCATGAGGAAATTTTGAGGTTCAGCCTCCTGCCCTGGAGGCTATTCAGTTCTCCCTCAGAGCTTGGGCCCCACAGACTCACCCTCCATCAAAGGGGTTCTCCCCAGGGATGATGTGTGTGCTGTCCCTGCCCACAAGGAACTTGATGCGGTCATAGAAGGAGTGCAGGTTCTGCTGGGACACAGGAGTCTTTGTCTCTTGGATGATGTCCAGAGGGTCGGGGGAGCCCAGGCACAGTGAGTTGACATGGCAGAGGGGTTGGAGGCAGCAGTCAGGATCCATGCAGTCCACCAAGCCATCTGTGGGAACAAAAGAGCATGTGGCTTACACAGCTATGTTCTATTAGCCATGTTCATACACAACAGCTTTATCAATTTTATTTTCCACCCACTGAAAACATTATGTGCTCATATGAGCCAAAGCCTTTGCTGGGTACCAAGAAGGTCCAGGTCCTGTAGATCTGATCGCAGTCCAGCAGTCTGATAGGACAGAGAGACAAATGAGTGTGCAGTGTCTATTTTTTGTTTTTTCTTCTTTTAAAGACATGGCAGGGATGCCATATACAAAGGCCCAGAGATGAAGATCACACGAGCACCTTAACTGCTAAGTTCAGATGCTGATGTTCAGAAGGAGAGGGAAATAGCCCAAGCAGAGATTGTGGGACGGCAGGAACAGACTGTGTGGGGGCCTTGTAGTGTAGGAATGGGAGTTTGTTTCACCCTCAGGACAATGGGAGCCACCAAAGGTTTTAAACAGGGGTGACTTCATTTAAAATGCACTTCAGTTGAAACTGAAGAGAAGCTGGGGTGGGGTGACAGGTGGGGTGGCAGGGTGAGAGGCATTGAGGATCCACAGGTAAAGAATAAAGGCAGCTTGGGCTAGGTAGTAACAGCAGAGACTAAGAGAAGTAGATGGTTTTGAGAGACATATAGAAAAAACTCTAAGGCCTGGTGGCTTTGGGGGTGAGGAGGAGGCAGTGTTGTAAGGGCCTGTAACTCTGGCATCTCTCCCCACAGCCTGTAGTCACATGGTCTGAGGCACAGTCCCCAACCTTCTGGAGGCCCAGTCCTGCCCTCTGTAAGTTATCATTTTCAGGAAATAATCTGTACTACCTGGATGAATTTCTTCAGGTCTGCAAATTGTATCAATCTCTACCATCTTCCTGAAGCTCAAAGATATTCCATCAGATCACATAGTTTTGATCACATCATCCCAGAGTACTTTTATGGACATCCAAAGAACGGCTTAAAACAGGTAAAAAAATGGGCTCAGAGGATAGTGGCCACAGTAGGGGACAGGGCTGACATCTGTGTGTTTTGTAGGCAGAGAAAAGTATGATGGCCCATATTTCTGACTGGGTTCAAATTCTGGCTTTACCACTTTTTGCTGTGTGACATACGACAATTTTCCCCACAACCCTGGTCAAAGATCTGTTCTAGTCATCTCTGATGCACACTTAGCACTTACTAGACATGTTTAAAACATGACTGTTAAATAAATGAGAAATGAATGAATGAGCTAAACGAAGCAGGGAATAAAACTAAATGTCAATCCACAAAAGCCAGAAAACTCTATGTTCAGTCAGTCCCATCAAGCAATGTGGTACAGCGCAAGGATCATGAGGCCCAGAGACTGAAGTTCAAGTCCTGATACTGCCCGTAAGTTGACCATGGACAAGCTCTTACACTTAATGACCTGAACCCTACTTTCCTCATCAATAATATGGGAGTAATGCTGATATACGCACCTCACACCTGTCTCCGTGGAGCTCAGAATGTAACTGCTCCCATACGCATTGGCCAGGCGGGCGGGTCCTCCTCACTAGTTGTGTGGCCCAGGCAAGCTACTCAACTGCCCTAAGACCCAGTTTTTCCTTAAATAAATTGAGGGAAAAAATCTCTTGTCTTTTCCATTTCTGCATGAGGCCCATGAAATCTGGGATCTGAAACTTACTACTGTGTGACTTTGGGCAAGTCACTTCAACTCTCTTGCCTCTGTTTCCTACATCTCTTCATAGGGATAAGAAGAGCATCATATAAGATATTTGTTACATAGTAAAAAAACACAGACACTCCTGATTTAGTGACCGAGTCCTGTCCCTGGGACTAGGTTGTTAAATGATTTAGTTGCTAAATAAGGAATTGTATATAGTATGTACATTTCAATATTCAGAACAAAGAAATGGTCAAAGGACACTGCAATTTTGGCTCAGTATTTTATTATTATTATTATCTAAGACAAGGTCTTACTATGTAACCCAGCCTGGCCTCAGATTTGCAGTGATCCTTCTGCCTCAGCCTCCAGAGTACCGAGATTACAGGCCTGCCTCACCTGACTAGTTTTGGCTCATTCATGAATGAAGTTCTGCAGGCTACTGCAAGAAACCAATGAAATTAAAATACAGTACTACCAATAAGGTATCACAGGACCATGAACCTGCTTGACTGTAAAAATCACCAGAAACACCCAATATCCCTGACAGTGAAACTGACATTATGGAGCCACTGTTCTGTCCACCTCTGCGGTGAACACCTTGGAGTACAGAAAGACATGTGGAATATGTAGTGAGGAAGCTTAGTAGCCAGGAGTGTAAGACAAAAATCAAACACACGAAACAATCACAAAGCCATGAAACAACAGTGATAATTAATTGATCAACTGCTTCCTGTGGCTCAGAAGTATATATACATTATATTATATAATATAGTAATATACTGTTATCTATACATATATAACCCTTGAGAAAATATGCACACCATATGATAGGAGACATTTCTACATATCAAAACGTTTTAAAGGTAACATCACTTCTAAAGAGTTTGTCTATATCTGAGAATTTATTTAACTCCAAATGAATCAGTTTCATTATCACCTGAGGAAATGTTGGAAGAAAATAGTTCTTTAAAGTGAGTCCAATAAAAAGAGTGCGCTGCTAAATTTTTCTGGCCTTTTGACACAGCTGTTCTGCCTTCAACATATGCGATCAACAGGCATCAAAAGATTGTGCTCTAAATCACTCCCTTTGTCTCAAAACAGGCAAATCATATATATTTTGGATAATGAGGTAAAACAAGCACCTCATTTTGCCTCAATATCCAAAAAATGTCAGGTAGCTAATTTTTTCCCAGTATCAGACATTATAGAAATAATACATATTTTGAAAACATTAGTCTTTTTCATAAATGCTGTGTTTATTTGCAAAATATGCTTAGGGAATGTGCCTAAAATACAATAGGCTACAGACATTCCTCATTTAATGACCAAGTCATGTTCCTGAGACTAGGTTGTTAAATGAGGAACTGTATATAGTAGATACACTGCAGTATTCAGAACAAAGATATGGTCCAAGGAAGCTCCAACTTGATGACTTTGCTTTTATTTGCATAACTTTTACATGCAGTACTATAATGTATAATGGAACACAAAACTATAGTACTGTATTGCCCATCAACTAGAGACTGGATAAAGAAGATGTGGTTTTTCTATAAAATGAAGTACTACTCAGCCATAAAGAATGAGAAACTAGAAACATTTATAGCTAAATGGATGCACATTGAGGCTATACTCTTAAGTGAATAGGACATGCATATGTAAATACTGAATAGTTTCTCTAGTGTGGGAAACTGAAAGTGTAAATAAGGACTAAAAGGTATAATAGATAATTTGAAATAGGAAGAAAAGGTGCTAAAGTGGAAGGGGAAATGAGAGGGGTAGGGGAAAAGAAAGATGGTAATGGAATTAACATGAGAAAAAGAAAAAAAGGAAACAGTCTTTGTAGATAGGGAGAGGTGGAGGGGTTGAAGGGAGGTCAGGAGAATGGAGAAAAAAACAGATGGATTACAGAAAGGTGCAAATTTCCAATGATGAATGTCACTACAATGTACACCTTAAATGTACCAATAAAATTAATTTAAAAACTATAGTACTCTATTGTATAATACAATCAGCAAAACTTACAGTACTGTATAAACAACTGTATAAAAAAGACACGGAGGCTCTATCAACAAGATGTACTGAACTATACAAAAGGGCCAGGGGTTTAGTTTAGTAGCACAGCACCTGCCTCAAAGCAAAATTTCCTGAGTTCTGTCTCTAGTACAAAACAAAACAGAACAAAAAGCTGTACAACAACAACAAAGAAGAACAGCGCCCCTTGGTCATAAGTCCGAATAGCCACTAAACACGTAGGTTGTTAAACAAGGAATAATTGCACAGTACTATGTGTCCACATCCAGCACAGTATCTGAAACAGCAGCTGACACATAGTAAATGCTTAATAAGGGGTAGTTTCCTTTCCAGATGCTGAACTTAGGACATGGCTTACCAGTGAAGGGCCTGTCATTTTGAGCTCATCTGTCAGATTCATGCTGAGGTGTGGAGCAAGGCATCCTTCACCCCAGCACTGTCTGGGTCTTAACTGTAGCTCCTGTCCCAGCTCCAGACACACCTGCCTAGCAAAGCACCTGCCTTCCACAGTTGCAGGCCCCATCATACATCCTGACTCTGCCCCTGTCAGACGTTGCTTAAACACATAATTACAGCCCAAGCAGAGGGTTATTTGCATTCTACTATTGATGTTAGCACGACAGATTCAGCTGCTGCATCCATAACTCTGCAGAAATGCTCCATTATTCAATCCCAGTGAGCAGGGATGTTGACCATTAAATCAGCTAGCACAATTGAAGGACCGTGAAAAGTCATGGCTAATTTGAAATTTTATTAGCTCTGGTTTACCACCAGAGAAGGCACCTGGGCAGAACTGCTTCCTGTTGAGAATAGACTTATGCTCTCCAGCCCTGTGAAAGGGTAGCCAGGAATGGGCTGGTTATTAGTAACATCTACATTTAATTGATGATAAATCACAGCATGGATTAAGTGCCAGGTATTGTGCTAAACACTTTATAGGGAATATAGAATTGAGTCTTCCCAACTCCATGAGGTGGCTACTGTCATCATCCTCATTTTAGAGAAAGAATCACAGGTTCAAAGTGACAAAGTAATTTGAAGATCACATAGATAGTCAGGGAAGAAGCTGACTCAGTTCTTAAAGTGTGGAATCTCCTCTGAGCCACCCTGGAGAGACTCTCAGGAACTATTTCTCTAAAGGAGAACATGGCTTTATGAATCCTACTGAAAGACAACCCTTCTGTGTTCTCCCAGCAACCGAGGCACATTCTATCTCAGCACTCCTCCCTCCAGTACTGTAATTTTGATTGCTTTCCTCCCCAGACAATAGGGTCCTGGAGATCCACTGCTGATTCATTTCTGTATCCTAGGACCCAGAACTGGACAGAACAAGGCCTGCCTTCCACAGAGGTCTGAAGATTGGCTAAAGGATGAATCCAGGCTAGGGCTGCTTCCCTGATCAAGGATCAGAACCAGAGGACACAGTTGGAACGGTCTTTCCCTCTATGTTCAGTGGCAGAATGCCCAGTGGGTAAGGGGGCCTCTCTCCAGTTTAGATTTACACCCTAATTTCCATGTGAACTGTATACATTGCTTAACATCTCCAGACCTGTTTCTTTAGATACTTATCATGAGGCACAAAGAAAAACGGTTAATTCCTTAACTCATTGCTCTGCCCCTATAGCCAGGTGTGAAGTACAACGCTTCCGTTGGGCATCTTGGGACAATCCAGAGAGCTTCTTGACAATCTGTCTCTAGGCCTGGACCTAGTGTGTACACATGCTCCACACAGTAGGTGGTTTGCCATACCACAGGTCCTTCAAGTAGGCCTGGTGTCTTTTATGAGTTCTGAGAAGTTCTGTTATAAACTCTGAACATTCTCACCGTCTCTCTAGTCTTTTCTTCAGGAATGCTATTAGATGCTTAAAGGACCTTGTCCATACCCTTGATGTTTCAACCTCTTTCATAATTCCCATCTTCTTATTTGCATTCTATTATGATTTATTTCCTCAGATATATACCCTACTGTACTTATTTTCCCTTCATCTGTGTCTGGTCTGCTGTTTAATCTGTCCTTTGGGCCATTCATTTGAATGACCATACTTTAAAATTTCTTGATGGTCTCTCAGAACTTCACACAGTTTGCCTGCTTCTGCATAGCATCTTATTCCATTCTTTTGGTTTTATACATTGTTTTCTCCCTTCAGTCACATAAAAACTTATTCAGGTGATAGTGTCTCTCAGATTATTACCTTCTTGGGAGTGGCAGCAGCCCTCTGTGTGTCAGAGTTGCTGGTTCAGTGCATGGTCAGTCATTCTCTGACTGTGACCTCGAGGTAGCCTGCCTTTTATGTGGGGAATCCAGCTTCTGGTTACCTCTGCCTGCCACCCCAGGGAGCCAGTGGTCTCGGACTGCTTTTCAGGTAGATTTTTCAGCTTGGCTTCCTAGTGCCACTCTGGGATGTACATTTAGATTTCAGTAAATTTGTGGTGTGGGCTTCACCTCTCATAGCTGTCTCCCTGTACCCAGAACAGAGAGATGCCTCAGCGCCATCTCTCCAGTCTAGCAGTCAGTTTCTCAGTCCTAGCCTCTGAGGGTCCCAGCTTTCCGTTGGGCTTCAGTTTTAGTGCCCCACAATGAATGCACCCTGCCTCCTGACTTTATGAGTGTGCCCCAGCTTCTGCGCTCGGTACTCTGTCTTGTCATGCTTCTGGGATTCAGGGCTCCCCTGTCTCCTTTTTCCTTCTTGGCTGAATTTTAAAAATAAACTGTTGGACCTTGTGGTCAGCAGTTCTTTGTGATGACCTAGTTAGATGTTATCTTGGAAGTCAAAGACCCAAGCAAAGCTCTGAGCTGTAGTTCACTCATCTGTAAAATGAATCATCAAACTTCTTAAGAGATGCTGTGAGGATTAGGATTAGTACTCAGCATGATAAGGAGAACTGAAGCAAGGACTTGGCAAATGATGGTTACTAGTAGCTACTGGGTAGGTGTATCCTTTAAGCCTGTATCCTGGCAACAGCATCACTGGTCCCTACCTTGTCTCCTACCTATGCACACATTCCAGGGCAGCCCTTTCTGAATGCAGAGTACCACCCATGTATATTAGAGGAGTGGGGATCACAGGGGAACTGCAGGTTGGGGTTCTAAGAAATAGAGATATCATACCAACTGTGTTCTTGGGAGAGACCCTGAGACCAGGGGATTTTTCAATCTGTGCTTTGAGAGCGAGAGTGATTAATTCGCACCAGGAATTCTGTCTGCCTACACCTGGCTGTGTTGCTACTTTCTAATTACACATTTGACAAATATTTGCTGAGTAGTGAATATGGGCAAACTTCTACCAATAGAAACAATCGTATTTAAATAAGATATAGCAAAATCATGAGTAGGCCCCACAAGAGTCTTTCAAAGGCTGCGTTTTACAAGACCAGTTTTCATGTAAAACCCTCTTTATGTTTTCACATGCAGCATATGGCAGCCGGAAACTGCATATGGCTGCTCTACAGTAAGGGAGAGTCTTTTACAATTTAACTCTTTTGGGCATAGACGATGAATTTTAGAAGATTTGTATTACAAAAAGAAAAAAAGGTGTGCTTTGGGAATAGAAAAGTAAATTCTGGGATAGACAGAAAACACATCAATATATAGTTTTTGGGACTCTGGTATGGCTGGGTTAGAAACATTTATATTTTCTAAGCTCCGTATACCTTACTTAATTCTATAGCACACCAAAGTTGGATGACTTATGAGTTGTCTGTTATACACATTTGCTTTTATTATTAAAAGATGAGAGTTTATCACAGCATGAAAAAGTGAGAAAAAGTAGGGAGGATTTTCCTCTATTTCTTTCCAATTCTTAGGAAAATCCTCAGTAAAACTTTTGAGAAAAACTGTTTCTTTTCCCACAGAAATTTCCTTTTTCTTTGAGGTTCTGAGCTCCTCTCTTTCCATTTCCTTAACATGGTCAGTGAAAATGGGTAGAAGGAAGTGTCACAAAAGCCATGTAGTCTCCTGGACATTAGGCATGGAGTAGCAGATTAAAAAACAAACTCCCAAAGCCAAAAACCAAAAAACAGGTTCAGGTCTTTGGGCTGCTAAATGAAACATCCCAAAATGTTCACATACTCCTGACCCTTGAACTTGAAGCCTGCATATGAATGGCTGTGGGTGACAGAAGCCATTCCTTGCAAGAAGAGCTCATTCCTTTTCCTGGCAAGGAGGCACAGGCATGTGTCTATTAATGTTCACTTGATGCACATTCTGTGGCCAGCAGGCCCTGGACACAGGAACAAAAGTCTCGCCCTAAAAGAATTCAGCATAGTGGGTCAGACAGAAATGACAGAGTGCCAGGAAAGAAGGAAGCACATGGGGCCATGGAAGCCCTAAGCAGGGAGCCCAACCCAGGCTGGGGATGGGATATTTCCTGGACGAGAATGCTTAAATGCAGAGTAGAAGCATGGATAAAGATAAGCAGCTTGTAAACACTGTCCTGTGGATGTTTGCATGATTCCTTAAATTGATGGTTGTGTGGCAGGGTCTAATAAGCCCATCTGTCTCTCTGCAGGCTTACCTGTTCCCCTGGCTTGACAGCCCATCAGCCAAAACCATCTCTGCTGCCTGCAGTCTGGTTACAGAACAGTCTCACAATAGGCTGTGAGCAGCACGGGGAAGGCCCCAGGGGGAAAGGAGTGTGGAATGTGCCTCCCCTTTCTGTACACATCTGGGAGAAGTTTTTGTCATTTGCTATAATACATTCTGTGCCTTCTTTCAAAAGGCTTGCAAAATCTTTATCTCCTCCGTGGAACACGAGATTTTTAAAGGTCAATTTCTCTCCTGTCTCTTATCAGGAGAAGCGGGGTTTAGAGATAGTCTGAAGGGTGACCAAATTCTATGGCTTTATGTGAACTCTCCATTCCTGCAATGGGAGATGGGGAGGGAGAGGGAGGACAGCGAGCTCTGTCCTCAGTTTTCTGGAAGCTTCTTGGGGGTTGCACCCGTCAGCTCTATGTATTGCCACCCATGATTGTCTTTCACGGGGCTAAGAACGTCTGGAGAGATTATCACACCTTGGAGCTGCTAAAAGATCCTTCATCAAAAGAGGTCTGGCTGTTTACATTCCAGCGGAGTTTTTACTCTGGTGTCTTCTTTTCAAACACAGGTTCCATCTATTCCTAGCTCTCCCACTGATCCACTGTGTGACTGGGTACATTATTTTAGCTCCCCGAGAGTCAGCATCTCTACTTGTGATGTCTGCCTACAAGTTTGTTGCAAGGGTTCTTTAAATTATGGCTATTATTATCCTTTATGTGTATTTGGATTCTTTTCTTTCTACCAACAGGGGTGTTACGACTTGGAATACAGATTTTAATAAAGAAAATGAAAAAGGCCAATATCTACCATTGTCTGGAGAAAAGCATAACCTCAGATAAATAAAAATT